TGGCAGTTTTATTTGAATTATGTAGCTTACAGCTCCTATTGGGCTGTTCAAATTGTATTGATCAAAAGTTTATTTTGTCAAATACATATTTTATTGTTGTATATGCCTCATGCGTACATAAAATTAGATCATGATATATAATTGACTGAAACAACCAATTGAAAAATGTGAAATTTTTCATTTTTGTCAAAGATAATGATTTTTTTCTGAAAGTTACTAAAACATAATTGCTGCAATGGAAAAAATAATCTTAGTTGAGCTTGCTATTAATCACCTCATTTTCTTGTCTAAAACTAAATTAATTCTCCCTTTTTAAGCCTCCTTTTACTTTTCCTTCTTCATAGAGAAAGTCAAACTCAGTGAGCTCTCTGCTTGTTTTTATTTTTTTATTTTCCTTTTTTTCAGACAGGATCTTCTTATGTAGTTTTGAGTGGCCTTTAACTCACAGTGATCCTCCTGCCTCAGGTTTCCATGCTGGGATTACGGATGTGCCTTACCATCCCTGGCTAGATAGCTTTTATTTATTTATTTATTTTATTTTATTTAAATTTTTTTTGGTATTGGGGATTGAACTCAGTTTAGGACCTTGCACTTGCAAGGCAGGTGCTGGAACCACTGAGCTAAATCCCCGGCCCTAGATAGTTTTTAAAACATTATTTCTCTGACCCTTCTAAAACTCAATGAAGTAGGTGTTATAATCTACATAATACTGCCTAGGCAGCAACACAGGACTCTGTCTGGCTCTGTGGGAACTAGGATACCACACACAAAGAGGGAAACACAGGAAGGACATTTGAGTTCAGTTACATTAAAACCTTTATTGAGCCCATATTTTATGGAGATGAAAGATCACTGACTATTGTCAAGGAGTTTATAAGATAGGCAGATTTATAAACCTAAAATTCTAACTCCAAAAGTAGTAATAGAGGTACTGAAGTAGGAAGAAATACAGAGAAAGAATTCATTCATTTTCTAATGGAAAGGATGGGAAGAAAGGACCCGAGTTCAATCCCCGGTACCAAAAAAAAAAAACCCAGAAAATGATACCTAAATATATTTTATATATAAATGACACATGCACAATATCCTAGCAAGAGAAGATGATATTTGAACTAGCTTTGAAAGTTAAAAAATGAGAGTGCATTCTGTATATGATATGGAGGACATAAGTGGTATGGTGAGAGTAGAAAAAGTGTATGGGAAACTACAAATCATTGACTATCATCAGAACATAATATTATTTATTCAACAAATACATATTGAAGTCCTACTAAAGCTAGGCATTGTGTAAAATACTAGAGACAAGGTAAAAGACTAGAAAGTTTGTGGAACGTGTAGTGTACTAGGCTGTATTGAGGACTGAAATTACATAAGGAAAAGAAATGAACCTAGTAGTTGTTGAATGCTTGGATAGAATGGTTGACTTTTCCCTTATATGTGCTTATGAGCCAAGGGCATGTTAAGAAGGGTTATAGTGTAGTCAGAATCAACATACATGGGTTTTGCAGCAGAGAGGTGATGTGAAGGGAATCAGATTACAGGCAGAAAGGCCAGCAAGGGGCCACTACTCGTTCTAGATGAGAGATGAAAAGGTATTTGAGCAATATCTTGGAAAAGAAATTGACAGCACTTAGTGTTGCTTAGGTGTGAATGGCTAAAGTAGAAAAGAATCAAGATAACTCCCAGGTTTGTGGTCTCAGTAAGTACAGCAGATAGGAGTACTTTTTAACATGATCAGAAATATAGAAAGTCTAATAAACTAGTGAAGAAAAAAAGTAATTAAAGTGAGGATATGAAAAGCAGTTTGAGGTACAGGTGGAGTACCTCAGTTTTTTTAAAAACATGATTTAATCTCAAAATTAATTAAACCATTGCAGAATATTTTATTTCTTTCATTTTATGACTTCCTTTAGGACTTCTCTCTCCCAAACCCAATATGATGACAAAGGATAATTGATAGCCCTAAGATTTATTATCAGTGGAATTTATTTTCATGAAACTTCTCTGTTATCTGCCATATCAGATGAGATTTTCTTATTTTCTGCAACAAAAAGTAAACTTGGAGGAGGGATGCTAAAATGATACAAGAGCAAATATTTACTTGCAGTTTCCAGTACTAAAACTTTCTATTTCTGGATGGTGGGAAAATTCCATGTCTAAATACAGTGGTATCTCAGTTTATGAATTTAATTTGTTTTATGATTTTAGGGAAGATGAATGGATTTGTGTTTTTGTGGGGAAAATGGCTGTGGTTGTGTTTGTCCCCCAGTGCAGAGTTAATGAACGAGAGCAAAATTTTGCCTAATGATTTTGTTTGCAAACAGAAGTGTTTGTGAACTGAGGCATTACTGTATTTGAAATATGATTTAAGAACCTGTATTTTGGGATTTATATTTAACTCATTAGAAATAGTCTTAGTGATAGATATAGATGCTCTAGTTTATAGTCCCAGGTGTAGAATTTATCCAGCCAACATCAAGTTTTCTCTTTAGATTAAATGGTCCAATCATTGAGGCACTGCATTTTTTTTTTGCATGGGTAAGCTTTATTCTTTTTTTTGTATGCTAATATTTTTTTTAACTTCTTTTATTGGTACACTGTAGGTATACAACACAATTACATTTCTCATTGGGAATTGTACCTTTACATGATGCATCTTGGTTCTTATTTTTTCCCCATTCCTAGCCCTCTCTTCACCCCCTCCACCCTTCCCTATTTACAAAGATTTTATTTCCATTTTTTCCATTTCTCATCATTTGTCCTTTCCCTTCTTTCCTTTCCCCTTCCCTCCCACTACCCCTACCTCTTTGGACCTTTTCTTCCTATTTTGCATTATCGATTATTCATTCTAATCATTGGTACATTTTAGGTATACAATATAATGACATTCATCATTGGAAATTTGCACCTTTACATAGTCTCTCTTGGTTATTTTTCACCCTTGCCCAGCCCTCCCTTCAACCCCTCCATCCCTCCCTATTTACAAAGATTTTGTTCCTATTTTTCCATTTTCTCATATTAATCCCATTCCCTTCTATCCTTTCCCCTAGCCCTCCCACTTCCTTCCCCTTTGCCCCTTTTCTTCCTATTTCACATTATCTATTATACATTTAGTCCTTATTTACACTTTCGGTTTCTCACACCAGAGAAACTATTCGGTATTTATACATGTGTGTCCTATTTATTTCATTTAAGAGTATCTCCTCAATGTGCATCCACTTAGCTATAAATGTCTCTAATTTCTCATTTTTTATGGCTGAGTAGTACTCCATTTTATAAAAACCCCACATTTTCTTTATCCAGTCTCCAGCTGATGGGCATTTGGGCTGTTTCCAAGTTTTAGCTATTACAAACTGTGCTGCTGTGAACATGGGTGCACATATATCACTGTGGTATGATTCTTTTAATTCTTTGGTTACTTGCACATGGTTCTTTGTACAGGAAAACCAAAGGTGAAAAGCAGCAGTCTCCAACTTCAGCCCTCACTATCTCTGTCTCACTCCTCTGAAGTAAAGTTTTAAATCATTATTCTGGTAGTTAATTCTGTAATTTTACTTAATGTAGTTATAGCACTATTTATTGATTCAATTTCAGATAATATACAGTTATGAACGATAAGGATTTATCTGCTATCTCATCATTCTCTCTACCATTGTTTACTATTTTTGTTGATGTTTTGTGCTCTTATTGTTTACTTTTGGAATATTAAATAGTATATTTTCTCATCAACCTGTGATAGCCTATAGGTTAAGCAGCTGTGAGAAGAGATTATAGGTAGACTGACTTAGATAAATAGAAGTTTATTTCTCTGTCCTGTTTGGTGACTATCAGTGCCTTATGACCTGTTGGGTCTGCCTTCTTTATCAAGGAGCTTCCATCTCAGGGCCAAGTGTGTGGAGGCAGTTGTTGCCATTTCCTAGGAGAGAAGAGGAAATCCGAAGCAAGCGACTGCCTTTATAGGAGGTGACCTGGAAGATAACACATCTTATTGACTTACATATCACTTACCAAAACTTTGTATCATGTTAATATCAAACTGCAAGAGAGACTGAGAATTGTGTCTGCATATTTAGCTAAAATTTCAGGGGTTCTAATATGAAGAAAGGAGAATTGATGCTAGGGTTCACTTAGCCTCTTCTAGTCTAGTCAGTATTTCTTAACTCTAAAAGATGAGGATGTTGCTACGAGTGTGAGTATCCTTTCCTTCACTTTTCTTTCTGGCCTTCCTTACATTGTGTTGTTACATAGTTTTTATTTTTATAGTGTAAAGTTGCTAATATTTGCAATATGTTCAGAACCTTGGTCCGTAGGTTGTCTCTAAAAGCTTGTATTATGACTATGTTCTTACTTCTGGGTAACAAAAATGAACTGTTACAATAGTTTTTTCTCCTTAGGTCCAAGATTATGATCTCTGGGCCTCTAAAAGGGAAATATATTTTCATAATGTCATGGTGAATGGATTGTTCTTTATTTTCTTACATTTATTTTATTGGATAAAAATCAGAGTAGGTTGGATTAAAATCTGGAGGGTCTGGTTGAAGGCACAGATCTCTTGGCTCACTAAGAAAGCTGTAGTGAATATGGTTAAGGCCCAGGGAACTTGCAGTCACTTTAGGAAATAAGATCTTCACATCCACTCATTTTATTGTAACCAAGGGCTACTCACTTTTGGGGCTGAGTGAAATCTTTAGTTTTTGAAGGTTTTGGAACCAGTATATCAGCTCTGGGTGATCAAGGTGAAGTAGCTCTCTTCTAGCTTTTAGTGTTTGAATGTAACAGGATAGTCATGTCTTCTTACCAAACTAAGAATCAATTTGGTATATTTAATCATAAAAGGGATAACAAAAGGGAGGGAGTCTCATTGTCATTGCCATTGTACCTCTCCTTCTTTCAGATTGTTATTTTCTTTCTTTTTTTTTAAAAAAAGTATGTTTTTTAAATCATAACCATCAATTTATAACAAAGGAACTTTTAAATTGAATCCACAGTTTTACCAGAAGTTGAGCTTTGGTCCATAATTCTATTTTAGTTATATTATTGGTGTATCTGTTTAAGTGACATGATATAACCTATGCATTATCAATGTTAGTACACTCCATTGTCATCTTTTTTTGTACTTTTAAAAAATTAATTTTATTGGTACATTTTAGGTATACAATATAATGACATTCATTATTGGAAATTTGCACTGTTGTAGAAATCTCAGAAAGAAATACACAGAGACACAAAATTCGGATAAAATAATAAAATTTCTTCTAGGGAGCAGACAGGAACGCCAGAAACCAGTCTGGTCAATATCCACACCCCCTTTGTTCAGCATTTTCTTTTTAATATCCTTTTTAGCCATTATCTCATCCCTAGTGGTCTTTGATATGTAAATACAATTTCAGTTCATATTTACAAGTCACAGACACAAGATAGGCTATATACATTGCAAATTCACCCTGGCATGGTAACTGTTTTAGGTTAATGAAGTTACCCATTAGAGTCAGATAATCCTCACCTTAAACAAGGAGCTACGGGAAAAGCAAATCTTAAAAGAACACATTACTTATTTTGCTTCTATAGCTACCTTAATATTCAATCTATTAAGTTATCTAAAACTTTTCCGTATCATTCCTCCCTCTCTTTACTTTGGGATAATTCTTTTATCCATTACAAGTTCTATCCAGTTTATTTACATTTCTTAACACTAGCATTTGGTAGTCTTGAGCTGCAGCACTGCGCTACCTTATAAATTTTGAAATCCATTGGATGACACAATGACCAGCATTAATATTAATATTATAACAAGAATGGGACTCAGAAGAGGTCCTATCCAAGATTTTTTCATCCTGCCCCAATAAAATTAATCCCATAGGACAGCTCTCCTATATCAAATTTCTCATCAAGAGCCTTGATCTGATCTTTTATTTTGCCTAGTGATTCTTGTACTATACCAGATATATTAGCATATTAACAACTCTCTTTTCCAAGAAATAAGCAAGTCCCTCCTTTCTGGGTTGTGAGCAAATCAAGAGCACGCCTATTCTGTAATGACATTGGCCAGTGAATCTACTTGGGTTTCTAAAGCCCGAAGTGTGTCTTGAATTTCCTCAAGAGCTTTCTAAACTTCTTGTCCTAATGAAATATATTACTCCTTGTAGCCAAATAAGATCCCATGGGGCTGGCATATACATAGATGTAGGATTACATTGACCTTGTTTACAATTGTTACAATTACCAGTGGCTTGTCCAACAAGGGAGCCATTGATCCAAACTTGTGTTTTCTCTTTGTAATATAATTTTTCATTAGAATAGCCCCCCACACTCAGAAGTTATCCCAGGTCCCCCATAATGTTTTTATCAAAGAATATTGTAAATGGATAGCCTTCTGGTTCCCATTTTACTGTTTTAAAAGTCACATATTGTTCATCAAACTTTTCATTACTAGGCCTAAACACTCGTAGTTTGAAAACAAAGAAACTTAAGGCAGTGGTGATCTGGCACAACACAATAATCCATGTCGTCCTTGTTGGTATTCTTCAGCCGTGCGTTGACTCACCAGCCTCCGGAGTGGTGAGAGCAGGGCTTTGAGTGCATTGTCTTTCTTGGTTCTCAGCATCAGCTTTATTGTTACCTTGTGCAATGAAGTCTTTGCCTTTCTGATGTCCTGAACAATATATTACTGTGACTTTGTTAGGTTTCCACACTGCCTCTAGCAACTGTATAATTTCCTGTTGTGGGTATTCTCACAGAGAAGGGCTTGGTACCGAGTAACCCAATTATTTGAGAGCCAATGATGTTCCCTTGTGTTCAGCAGTTCTAGGGCTGGGTGTGGAACCTGCACAGTCAGTTCCTGACCTAAAGTCAGCTTGTCTGTTTTTTGATTCAATAGAACTGAAGTTGTTAAGGCCCAAAACAATGAGGCCATCCTTTTGTTACTGAATCTAAATTTTTAGACAAATATGCCACCGGTTGATTCCAAGGGCCTACTTCTTGGGTCAGCATTCCAAGGGTGACATAGTTTTTTTTTTTTTAGTC